ACATGATTGCATGCAGATGGTTCCTGAATATCTCCATTGTAGAAGGCTCCAGAATGCCTCTCTAGGCAGTCTGTTCCAGTGCACAGTCACCCACACAGCAAAGAAGTTCTTCTCATGTTCAGGTGGAACTTCCTGTGCATCAGTTTCTGCCATTGCCTCTTGTCCTATTGCCCAACAGCAGCGAGCAGAGCCTGGTGCTATCCTCTTGACACCCTCCCTTCAGATACTTACAGACATTGATGATGTCCCCTTTTAGGTGCTTCTTTTCTGGTCTGAATAGGCCCAGCTCTCAGCCTTTCCTCATAAGAGATGCTCCAGTCCCTTAATCCTTCACTGGAACAGCTCCATGAGCTCCATGTGTCTCTTGCACTATGAGCCCAAAACTGGACACAATATTCCAGCTGCATCCTCACTTGGGCTGAGTTAGAGGGGCAGGATCCCTTTCCTTGACCTGCTGGCAGTGCTCTTCCTAATGCACCCCAGGACACCATTGGCTTTCTTGGCCACAAGGACACTGCTGACTCATGAACAACTTGTTTTCTACCAGGATCCCCAGGTCCTTCCCTGCACAGCTGATTTCCAGCAGGTTGGCTCCCAGTCTGAACTGGTGCTTGGGGTTATTTCTCCTCAGGTGCATTTGCCTTCATTAATTTCAAACAGTTCTCTACACATTTCTCCAGAGATTTTACTTGTAGGAAATAGCCACCTTTTTGCTGTCCTGACACTAAGAGCTGGAGACAAAAAACAGGAACAGCTTCCACAGCCTAGAAGTGGGCAGGTGGAGGCCCAAGACCCCCTTGCAACACATATTCCCTTTTCCAGCTGGAGGCTCTGGGATCCATCGGCCACTGAACAAGGAGCCAGCCTTCGGTGCAGAGTATAGATCCAAGGTGAGGGACCCATGGGGTTGCAGGGTTTTTCTGTGGGGATGCTTGGACTTTGCTGGGGCAGGAAGCACCATTTTTGTTGGGAATCTGGTCCTGTAGCACCAAGGTTGGAGGGGATCTCTGCTCCAAGAGGAGTTGTCAAACACTCAGTATTTGTGAACACTGCCAGCCCATTTCCAAGTTCCTGTTCTGTCCTTGCCATGGACAGCTCCTGCTCACTGCTCAAAGCAGGTGTCTGTAGCATCATGTTGGTGGGAAATCAGCTCCCAGGGCAGTGTGCTCAGTTGGCATTCCACTGCAACACAGTGTTTGGGATAGCCGGGTGGCAGGGACACATGCATCTTCCCTAGTGCTGCATCTTCTCTCATCTTACTATCTCCCACAGAAAGGTAAAGGTGATGTGAAGAAGAAGGGCCAACTCGACCCCTATGCCTACATCCCCCTGAACAGAGCTAAACTCAACAGAAGGTGAGGCTAACCAGGAAGGGCACAGGGGTGGGAACGGGTTTGATCCTGCATTTTGTTAGGGTTTTCTTGGTGGGTTTGGGAGCGCCCTGTCATCTGCTGTGCCACTCCTTGCGGAGTCTGGAGCAGCACCCCCGTGCATTAAGTGTGCCCAGTGCCTGCACCAAAACAGCTTCCTGCTCCTTGCTCCCTCCAGGAAGCGGGCGAAAATGCAGGGCCAGTTCAAGGGCCTGATGAAGGGAGCCCAGCGCGGGGCCAAGGCCGGCCGCAGGAACCGACTGAAGTCCCAGCGCTCCTGAGGACACTCAGCTGTTCGACCTGCCCTACCCAAGGACACAGCATCGTCTTAGTGGAACAGCTGGAGGTCCTCTTGAAGGTGACCAGGGGTCCTCTTGAAGGTGACCTCCATTTGTTTGAGACTCCCTGGGAAGCTGCTTTGATGTATTATGGACTAATGACCCTTCTGTGCCTGGTACAGGCATGGGTGTGCGTGTGTGAGAGCAAGTAATATGTAAAGAATTCTCTGTATTGATAAATATCCTCTGTTCTTACTCAGCCCAGATTCCTCCTCTCCTTCCCTTCAGATCTTGTATAACTGTGCTGTGCGTTCTGTCCACGTGCAGCGGGTCCTCCTGCCGCTGCTGGGCTGCATCCCACATGGCTCACACCAGCATCAGCCTGGACCTGGGGCCAGAGCTCTCTCTCCCACATTGGGCTTGCCTGGAGGCTGCTAGAAGCAGCACTGTGGCACAGAGCAGCAGGGCTTATGTGCAGTGGGGCTGAGATGTGGAGCTGGCCATAGAACAAAGCCAGAAAGGCTGAAGTTCTTATAACCAGCTTTCTTTACCAAATTCCTTGGCAGGTTCTTCTGCCCAAAACTGTGGCCAGGGAATCTGTGCCGTGTGGAAAGTGACTGCCATTTGACCACTGGACACTTTTCCCATATCAGCCATGCCTGATGGCAAGGCAAGAGCACTTGGCTGCAAATTTCTTCAAACTGGCTGGAAACTGCTACAGCAAACCTCTGTGCCTTGCCATTTCTCTTGCCTTTGAGAGCTGAAAGAAGCCCTTTTCTCTGGCTACTTCCTGCCAGCTAGACCTGAGCAGCACGAGTAATCTGAAACTTTTTAGCTGCTCAGCCTTGTCACATTGGCCTGAGCATCAGGTTTTGCTCAGCTACTTCTACGCTGAGTGCAAAAAATGGTGCTTGGCTGGGAGTAGTGGATACAGGTCCCATTGCTTGCACTGCAAAGAACATGTGTTCTTTGTTAGCCAGGTTAGCTGGCTTTCCCTTCCTCTTTCATATTAAAAAGGCTTCAGCCTTTGTAATTTCCTATTGTGCCAGCTTACATGCTGGAATTGCAATGCTTCTCAATTCTGTAATAAGCTAAAGGGATTGTGGTTGTTCAGCCTCTTACTGCAGGCTTCTTTCTGGAGGCTGCAAATCCAGTTTTGTGGCTTTCTTATGCTTGTTGGTTTTGGTTTTTTTTTTTCCTGAGATTGTTTTAAAAGCCTGGGATAGAGGAGGAGCTCTTGTACTGATACTGGTCCTGCCTTTTCAGGAATGCTGTTCCTTTGTGCTTTCCCACCCAGGGCTCTCAGAGGGACTCTTGAGGCCCCAGGACCATGTTGAGGTGCTGCTGCTTGTCCTGCCAGAAGGCAGCTCACAGCCTGGCCTACAGGACAGCCTTCTGCAGCAGCACCTTGTGAGCTACACCATCTTTCTCTGCTGCCTGGAGCATGGGCCTGATGCCTTCCCCTCCCCTGAGAGCAGGACAGGGGGAGACAGGCAGTAGTCACCTTCTGAGACACCAACCCCTGTAACCTGAGGCTCTAGACCCAGCAGAGCTATCTGTCTTTCTGCTTTCCTTTCTCTCCTTGGAGACGAGACCTAGAGAAGGCTGTAGCTAATTTATTTGGGAGCTCTAGCTTACTCACTCTATTGTTCTTCATTTGCATGTTGTTGCTTAAATGAGTACATGCCTGCACGGAACAGAAGAGTTTTATTAGCACAGAGGATGGTGTTCACCTGAGCTGGAATCCAGAGAACAGATTCTGCTGCAACAACATCTTGTTAATCAGCTAATTAATCATGTAATGCAATGGAAACCCTTGGTGAGAAGATGTTATCCTGCCTGAGAAGGCTGACTGTGCATCAAGCCTGCTCCACACCAGCAGCTGCCCCTGGCGGGGAGCAGAGCTGTGTCTTGGGGGCCCACAGGAGCCTGAGCATGCAGCTCTGACATGGGGCAGGTGAGGGGTAGTGTGGGTTGTGCCTCCTGCAGTTGCTTTTCACAACTATTTTGCAACTATTTTACCCCTGGAGAGGCACAAACTGGGGACCTGGAGACATGCTTGGCTTTTGCTTCAAGCTGGGATGTGGCTTGAAGGCTATTTCTTCACTCAGCAGGCTCTTAGACTATGAAGTACCAGTACTGAGCTACACTTGTGCATGACATTGTCACAAAGGCTTCTTGACCCTTGCAGATACCAGCTTGAGGAGAGCCTGGCAGGACTAACACGCTGCCCCTAGTGCTGGCTAAATGCCCACCCTGGTTCTTAAAGGTTAAAATCAGACTTGCCCCATGGGGCTGTGCCTACCCACTGTCCAGATGGACCACCCCATCCTTGAAGGACGCTGCAGGCCCTTTCGGGGTTCCCCTGTTCAGAGTTGGGATTCCTCACAGAAGTAGTGCAGGGATGGGAAAACCCTCCTGGGGCAGCAGGAGCTTTGGTGTTTAACCTGAAATGATTGGCAGAGAGATAATGAAGTGTGGAGTTTTAAAATGCCAAGGGACCACTCCAGCTGAAATCTAGTAAATTAAAATAATATTAATTCCTAGTCCCTCAGCACTCCACTCTAGACTTAAAATTGTTTCTGAGTTGTGTTTCTGTAGTTGCTACCTGAGTACTGCAGGTGCAGCAAGTGTGGAGGGGCACAGGGCCCCTGGCTGTGAACACTGCAGGTGCTTTCACCCACGAAGGGGAAAAAAGGGAATAAAACTGCTCATCAGTGTCTGTGTTCTCTGTTTGTCCTTGATGGAGAGCGCTGCTAACAAACACTCAAGCCGAGATGGGAATTGCAGTTTCTGGCGTAACTCGTGCTTGGAGCATTTGGTGCGGCCCCCGCAGGATGGGCTCTGCCAGGCACGGTGTGAGTACCCTGCAGTCGTGGGTACGGTGTGAGTGCCCTGCAGTGGCGGGTACGGTGTGAGTGCCCTGCAGTGGCGGGTACGGTGTGCATTTCCTGCAGTGGCGGGGCACGGTGTGAGTGTCCTGCAGTGGCGGGGCACGATGTGAATGTCCTGCAGTGGCGGGTACGGTGTGCATTTCCTGCAGTGGCGGGGTACGGTGTGAGTGCCCTGCAGTGGCGGGTACGGTGTGCATTTCCTGCAGTGGCGGGGTACGGTGTGAGTGTCCTGCAGTGGCGGGGTTGCGGCACCCGCTCTGCGGCCGAGGCTCTGCTGCCTACAACTCCCAGCAGGCCGCGCGCCGCACGGGCGGCCGTTCCCCCACACCCGCCCCCGCGTGCGCGCGGATCGGCCGTTGCCCGTTCGAACCGGCCAATAGCGGCGGGGCGGTGCCGGCCGCGGCCAATGGCGTGGCGCAGCGCGCGGGGCTGGGCCGAGGGGGAGGTGCGGCGGGCCAATGGGCAGGCGGAGCGGCAGGTATGAGATGGCGGCGGGAGCACCGGCATCCGGCGGCGGCAGGTAGGTGCGGGATCCCAGGCGCCCCCTCGCCCCGTCCCGGCGGCGCGCTCCCCTCCCCTCGGCCTCTCGCCGCCGTTCTACGAGTCGGGCACCCCGCACCAGCCGGTGGCAGCCGCCGGTCTGTGCGCCTCTGCCCGCCCATTGCGGCGCTGCCCGTGCGAGCCGCGCTGTCCGTCCCAGCTGCCGCGCCGCCCGCCGGTGTCCCGGCGCCTTAACGGAGCCGTCGGACTCGGTGCTCGGCCGAGCCGCCGCGCAGTCCCGCGGGGGCCGCGGCAGGAGCCGTGTGCCCGCGGTGCCCGCGGGCTGTGCGGCGGAGCGCTGCCCGCAGCATCCCGGTGCTGCATTGCGGGGAAGCGCCGCCCGCTCCTCTGCGGGCCAGGTCCCGCCCCGGGCAGGGGCCGTTCCCGGGCGGCGACACGGCGCCGTGCCCGCCCGCGGCTCTGCTGCGGGCCCGGTCCCGCCGGGCTGCGGCCGGGCCGGCGCAGAGCCGGCGCTCGGCAGTTGCGGGGTTTGGTAGGGTGATGGCACTATGTCGACTTGCTTCGCGTTCAGCCCTCCTTCTCCTTTGCTTTGTCTGCTCTACCCGCGTTATTCCGGCTTTCCAAACACACAAGCGATGTCAGCTTCACGTAATTCACCTTGAGCTCATATTTCTGTACGCATCGCCGTTCTGTTCCTGCAGTAATAGAATAGCAAGGGCTGCAGGAGCACCTCGCTAGAACAGTGCTATGTCGGATTTGTGTTAAAAGGCTGCAGTATCTTTTTTTTTTTTTTTTTCCTCTCTGTTTTTTTTCTCGCCCTGTATGTGTGGTGTGTTGCTGCAAATTGAGTATCCTTCGAATGGTAATTCTTGTGGATAAATAAATACGGTTGAGGTCTGATGCCTCTTACTCAGCCTGATTCACAGTGGTGCCATCCTGCTCACTGCTGAGTGGGGCCCAAGGTGGCACTTGCTTATCTGGGGGCACTGCTGTGGTGCCTGGGCTGGGGCAGAGCATTGCCCTGGAAGGAGGGATGAAGAGATGGCGCTCACTGCAGTGTATTTGGCAGGGAGAGCCTAAAATGCTGGACCTGGTAAAGGGATGCATATGCTTAGTACAGCTGATACTTGAAATGCCCTTTTGGATAAAGAATTTTTAACATGGCCTGGATCAGCCTGAATGACTGGATTTATTTTTTTCCTATGTTGGCAGTTGTCCTTGATGAATTCTCCTGCTCTTTATCCCCCACCCTCCAAAAGCGATTATGTTAATGCGAAGCCTGAGGTACAAGTTTTCCTCCAGCACTGCCTGTCACCCACAGGTAGCGCTAGAAAATCAATCTCTTGCTTTGCTGGTCTATCACCACACAGGCCACAAAGCTTGCTTTTTTTTTTGTGCTTTTGCCCCCATTTCCTCTCGTCTGGAGAGAAGTACAAGTTAGCTAGTAAAGCTTACATGCTGTGCTTGTGGCATTATAGCATGCTGACTTAAAGACTGAAATTAAAAGCTGGTAGTCCTAAACTCTTTACCAAATGTTTCCTGAACATGACAAAAGATTATTTGTGTGGGTCTCTCTTCTGTTTGTAGTCTCTCTAACCTCTGCTTGGTTCTTCATAACTCACAATGATGATTGCACTGTGCCAGAGTGCTCAATTGCGAAAGAGAAACATCTGCCTGTTTAATGAATGCGTTTAATGTCCGACTCAAGCAGTGCCTAAATGTTTTTCCAGGCACTCATGTCGGCCATTTGATATGGCAGGGGTGGGATGAGTGGAAGAGAAAAAGGAATGGGTCTGGAAGAAGCTGGAAAAAGCAATAAAGCATCTTGCTAAAATGGATTGATAGAGTGGTACTGCACAACTGGACATCAAGAGCTCACATTGTAAACAGGTTATGAAAGGAGACACGGTTGCCATCTGTGTTTTACTGGAAATAGGAAAATGTTCACCATAAACATGACTTGATGGCAAAAAATCAAAGTGACTTGCTGAGGGTCAGGCAGAAAAAATGGTTGATTTCAGAGTTAAAGCCAAGTCTGAACACATGGCTACTTTTCTCTGAAGATAGCCTGGGAGCTGAGGACAATCTTATTCACACATTCCCTTTTCCACAGCTCTCATGAGAATCTTTCAGACCTAGATTTGTGTTTGACCCCATACTCAGTCCAAGTCTTGTGAGGTATTCATCTGAACCAAACTCAAGGCCATGTTGTATTTGCAGTATTTTTATATGTTTGCATGTAACACCCTGTCCTGTTCCCATCCAGGGTGGGATGGGCTTTGACAACAGGATCCTTGTTCTGCTACACTTCAGTTTATTGTCTGTTTGCGTGAAGGGGGAGCATTACTTCCCACATAGCCCAAAGCAGCGTCTGGGTCTCCTTGCCAGCCTGGTCACTGCCTTGTTGCTGTGTGCACATTTACATGCCTATGAAAATGTCACAGAGCTTCGTTACCACTCCTTTAAAGGTGCCTGGGCATTTAGTTCAGTCTGAAACTGAAGCACTGAGTACTAGACACTGCTGGGAAATCAAATGCCTCGTCCTAAAGGTCAAAAGTCCTCAGTGTGTGTTGATTTAATAAGTGACATCAACAGATGGGAAGGAGATGGGACAGCATGGAAATGCTGGCTAGTGTCAAATGGTTGCACTGAAGTCCATCTTGGAAATACTGTCCCTCTGAGTGTTGGGTTGGGCCTCTCGTCACAGCTGAGGCCTTATATGTGCCAGTTGTTTTGGACCTAGCTCGTTCTGTGGGGTCTCATTTTCACTTGCCCTCCAGCTGGAAGCAGGAGCAGGGAGCCGAGGCCCTTTCCCTGCCCTACGCTCTGCAGGGTTCAGCACGGCCCTGCTGTGCTGCTGCTCTGCAGGCTGGTCCCAAACCTGCACTGTGAGCCTAGGGACTGACACATGGCGTTCCTGTGTTCCCAAGTCACAGGGGGCTTGGAGTCAGCATGGGCAGAGAAGTGAGAGGAAACGTGGCTGCTTGCTGGGATAAATAGGCTGAAGTTTTTCAAAGCTTCGCAGGTCTTATGTGTCCCTGGCCTCTCATCCTGGTAATTCATTACACTTACTGTGTAAGAGCATTGGGCCCTTTTCTCCAAAGTGCAAAACCCTCATTCCTTGACTCCTGGCCTTTCTCACCTCTACACTAGGTAATTGCAATTAAGCCATCTAGAATTTCCTCATAAATTTTATTTTCAGAAACTATAGATAGCAGGGAATGTGATAAGCTGCTTAATAATTGCCTGCCAGCTGGCTTACAGGAACTTTTAATGTGTTTGCTTTTGGCCTATAAAGCTCTAATAATTTGGACTCCAGCCAAAACATCCTTTCTTCTTGAACAGTACTGTGGCAGCTCTGATTTTCAGAGGCAGGAATTTCTCAGGGGAAATGGCATTAGTTTTCCTTTTTGTTTTTCTGGAGCTCATACTCAAGGTTGAAACATAGCTTTATGGTTTGGGACTTCCTTATGGGCATTCCTACAGCCCTGCTTGCAAGCTGTCTTATAGCAGGAGACAAGCATGCTGTGGCTCTCTGTGCCTTGGAGAGCAGGAAGCCTTTTAGGGAACATCCTCACAAGCTTTTGGGGGCTCCTGGAGCTCTCCTCACGCACATGCCACTCTGCATTCTCTTGAGTGGCCCCTGGAGCATATATAAATATATCACTGTTCCCTGGGCTCTGCAGTGAAACAGAGTTGAGCCAGAACTGTCAGACGGGATGTGAAGAGAAGCTGTATCTCACCAGAGTTGCATAAAGTGACACTACAGGTTATTGTCATATGAATTCTGGTATCTGTGTACACTATTCCAGTTTTTGATATCCTGGTCTACCCAGATCCCCTTCAAAAGCCCTAGGCCCCCATACTGCTCAGTTTGGTGAGTTAATTGGGCTGCTTTGTGTATCTCTGCCTCTCTGGTGCTGCATGCTGTGCTGCTCTGTGGTGGGCCCAGCCTGTTTATCGGTGTGCCTCGGCAGCCCTGACCAGATGTCACCAGCTTATTTAAATGCTGGCGTGGATCCAGGTGTTCCTCATCACAATTCCAGCTCGTAGAAGTTTACACATCTGGAACAAGGGATGTGGCCTCTGACATACTCAGTGGTGTCTGCAGAGGATTGCTGATGAGGAGGGATTTGATGTGCTATCATCCTTTGCAAACACCACTGTGATACAAAACACAGATGCAAGGATGCAGCTTGTTCACTGCACCTCTGGAGTGTTGTGGAATTACAGAAGAGTAGTGAACAAAAGCAAGAGCTGTGTGTCCTGGATACCTTCGTCCTCACCAACAGTACTGTGAGGAACTGGCTGTGGGTCCTCAGGTCTCCATGTCCTCTCAGTCCAGAAAAAGCAACTGCAGTCAAGCAAACCTCTGAGTGCTGCAGCACACTGTACTCAAATTGTGGTGCTTTTCTCAAGTCTGCCAATTGATGGTGGCATGGGATTCCCAAATGTGTTCTGGGCATCAGCTGGTGCTACCAATTTTGGGTATCATCCTGTGGGAGGACTGGAGGAAAACATCTGTCTTGATATGCTGGGTTGCTCTCAGTTCCCAGAGTGGTAGCTACAATAGCTTGTTAACTTTGCTATGTTGTTTTGGCGTAATTGCCTGATTTTTTGTGTCAGAAGTAAACGTGATTGTTTAGTGGTTGCTGTTTATAGATGGTAGCTCTTCTCTGACCGGGACACTAGCTTGGAGCTACTGGACTGAGAAACATCTAGATGGTGTGTGTTTGCTGGCCTCTGCACTCCATCCTGCCTCTGAAGGATGCCCTAAGACTCTCACCTTCAAGAGTAAGGGTGACAATCAGAGGTGCATGCAGCAGTTTTGGATTGCTAGAGACCAAGGAGGTATAGGTAGGCCTGGGCCATGCCTGTTACTGGCTGCCATCCAGTACACTCAACATGGGGAAATAAAGAGGACAAAGACAGTTTAAAATGAGAAGAGCAAAGGAATGCTATCATTGGCAACTGGAAAGTACCCGCCAGCACACTGGGGATACAGCAGACATGTTTGGT